CTCTCTCTCTCTCTCTCAGCTCGGTAGCGGGTATACGTGTACATTATATACATAGGGATCAAGAAACTTTTATACTACTTACTGCTGCAGGGAAAGAAAAATGTTTCTACACTTGAGACCCAAGTCGACACGTGCACTCAAGTGCGGATGCTTAAACGCGTCATTAAGATAACACCGGCACTTCAAACGCGCAAACACGCAATTAATATGCCACCGCCGCCGCGTGCGGTCGTGAATTATTACTTTGCATTTCGCTCGTCTGAACAAATGCGAAACTCCAATTTGCGGACAATCAGAGAAAAGAGTATTATTATTGCGTCGTCGTTGCATCAGAGGTCAATATTTTTTCTGGAATTCTTTTGATGGCCTTGCCACGCTTATTTTAGCTTCGTTCATGCAATGTGAGGATACACCTTTGCAAATCAACGCCGATGTTTACAAAAAATTTCGATAATCACAATGACACGTGCAATTTTCAACCCACATGAGAGTTTTGAGTAATTGTAAAAAAAAGTAGTGTACTTCCATCCACGTACGCGAGGAGATTTGACAAGAAACGCGCTGTGTATAAGAGATCTACGATGTAGTAATAATAATAATAACTCTGATATGTCCGCGGCGATGCACCAGCGCTTTTCTTGGTCGTCTGGTCCATATTCTCGACTCCCCAGCGTTTCTATCTTAAGACTTCTCAGGTACACCCGGCCAACGATTCGCGCGCAGCGTGACCTTTCGCATACATCGTCCGACTTTCTTGTACAACGCGAAGACAGGTCTGATCTCTTGCGTGTAAAAAGCTAGCCCGAGCGATTGATTACAAAATTCAGTAGTGCCGGCGTCTTGTTTCCGATCTTTTCTCGTATCGGCGGAGTTTTTCCTCTCCACCCTCCATTCGGAAAATGTCAAGAGGGCGATTCATCGAAAATAACGAGCGGCGACCCACATTCCTCCACCAGGTGTACAATTGGCGAACATTTTAATCATCCCCCGATCGAGAGCTGGTGCGACCGTTACGACGAGACGATCTCATATCTGGCAACAACGAGTCACTTCCCCAGCCGATCGCCGAGTCATTCCTCTTTCTTTCCACCCACGCCTCTCGGCATCTCCGCGTCTGATGCGATCCTCCTTTTTTTTTCTCTCTTCTTCCACCTCTCATTTTTCTCGCTCTCGCGTGCACCTACTACGAGCCCCTCTCGGCGCACGCTCACGATCCGCGTGTGATTTACGCCTCGGCCGGAGTCCCTCGATCCGCTCTCGTCTCTTTTATGCGCAATCTTCTTCCGACAAGCGTACACGCGGCTCTCGCTCGCGTCTTGATTAACCGGCTTCCAAGCTCATACACAGACACGAGCGCACACATCTTCGCGCCGAATATCGCTTCGGCTAATGCATATTTCATACAATTTCGTTCGGCTGTCGGTTGACATCGATGAGGTGATTAAGCGCGAGATCGACGGCATACATTTTCACATGGGCCGCACCTTTCGTAGTCACGGTACAGGAGTTGGATTTTTTTTTTTTTTTTCGTAACGAGACCTGATATTTAATTATCGTAAAAGAAACCCTCGCACGTCCAATTTGGTACGGTATTACAGACTTTGTGGCTGCAGTCTATTGTTCATCGAGATCTAATTGTGATACCTCGGAAATCAAAACCCCAAATACTTGGGATGCCTTTCGCATTTTTTCCAACTGGAGCCAAGCCGATCTCGAGATTTTAAATTCCAGTGGGAGATTGCGTACATAATAAGCGCGTTATTCAAAATCATGGAGACTTCCTGTTTGTACACTGCCGCGGGAGAAGAGAGTGCGATCATCCTCACATTTCTCGGTATTTTTTGTCGCTGACGGGCCCGAAGCCTGGGGGGGGGGGCATACAGAAGAACGAGGAGGCTGGAAGGAGATTGTTGGCCGAGAAACTGCCGGGCATGTATAGAGATCGGTATGTTGTTAATTTGAGAGAAGGAGAGGGGGAAACTCGCGCACGTGTACGTGTATACGTATGGTAAAAGAAGACGAGAAAGAGAGGCAAGAGCTCCCAGCAGGGAGCTATCTCTTCCTCTTCCTCCTTTCTCCCTCCATGTGCCCATAACGCTCTTTCTTTCTCCAGCGTTGGTGCTACCATGGCCTTTTTTTTCCATCCGAGAGGAGCAAAGAGGGAACGAGCGATCCCGAGGAGGAGAACCTTCTCCGTCTTGCTCTCACGGAGGGTTAAAAGAAGTGGGGAGGGGGTGAAAGAGACCGAGCCCGTCATCCGTCTTCATCGGCCGACAGCGCGACGGGCGGCGTTTGCCTCGAATGCTCACCAAGGAGTTTTCTTCTTCTTCTTCTTGCTCCTGTGCTTTCTTTTTCCCCCCCCCCCCCAACTTCTTCTTTGCCTTTCCCCGGATTCTTCTCTTTGTTTTTTCATCCTCTGCTCATCCCACTTATCGAACTTCGATGGCGACCTAACCCTTTTCATATTATACCTCGGACCAAGGCAACTTTGGGAAAGTGCCCCGAAAATGGGTAAAGGCATCGTGTTTTTCTTCGAGTGCTTTACTTTCCGAGGTGTGATTCGACGATTTTTACGTAATGACGCTGGCCCCCAACTGAACTGTAATTACACGATTGGAGCTTACGGTTATAACGGGATAATTGCCTCGAAAACGAAAATTTTTTGAAGATACAAGCGCGATAAACGTGGGGTTGTATCTTTTCATTTCGTTGAGTTTTGAAGTTATTCATGAGATATTAAAAATGCACAGTTGTTAAAAAAAAAAAATAATAATAATAAGATGTTACTGTAACATTTACAACATCAAGGTAGATCTTAGTTAATTGGTCGTTACATATACATCAACAATTATTTTAATGTATGGCATCCATAGTCATATACTGAGAGTCGAATCAGCATCGCAGAGATGCCAAGTCATACGACTCGAGTAATTTAGTGTTACTCTAAGTAGACAACAACCAACAATATGATATTTTTACAACATCTTAACAACGAGTCTTTGATAAAAAGAATCAACATTTCAAGAACAACATTTTTTTTCACCCTTTTTCTCTTGGCTCGAACTCTTATTTTCCTCCTTGGCTTCACTTATCGAAGAGATTAAAGTCTCCAAATGCACTTCTCGCTCCTTTCAGCTCCTGCTTGCAATTAATATTCCAAACTGAAAAGCTTTTTAGAAGCGCCAAATTTCGATCACTGCGTGGTTACGTATAATCCACTGCATCATAAACATAAACTCATGCATTCATGTCGCGACAGAACCTTCAAAAAATGACGTTGTATCCAGCTATTTTAAGTCATAAATTTTGGCAGTCCCTTTGTATGTGCCATCGAGGGATGCAAATAACTTCATTTTATTTCTCTCCTTTGTTCCATCGGCAATTTTGTTTTCTTACTGCCAAGTGTTGAAAATCTGCTTTCAAAAACAATGAAATCGCCATCACATGGGGGATGTATCATCTCTTCTTGTAATTAAAGTAAAAACAAGCATTATATGCTACCAAAATCACCGTACAAATTTTCGTAATTCAATATTTTACTTTGAATGAAAAAAAAACTTTCTCAAAATCAACAAATTTGTCCGGACCGACATATATTTTTCAAAAACTGTAACACACCATGGGTACGTATTCGAAAAGGGCGTGGAAAAAAAATCCAGCCTCGCGACAACAGACAGAGAGATATGAGGACAGAAGGCGAGGCATGTAGCGGAGGAAAAAAAAAAAAAAAAAAAGAGGAACGATAAGACCAGACGTCTTCTTCGACTTTTTCTCGGAATGTTCGGTATGTGTGTGTGTCCAAGATTCGAAGGAGGGCATTATAAATGAGATCCCTGCGAAAAAGAGAGGCGTACCCGTCCACGGGTGGAGCAGCGAAATTCGAAAACGCGCGCAAAGACACGCGTCCTGGAAGTATAGGTACTATTGCCTTTTGCATCGACTGTGATGTATCCATGGAGGATCCTCGGGTAGGGGTGGCGTGACGGTGAGCAGCCGGTAAATGATAGCTTCGCGATAGAGGAAGACACACTCCTTACCTGCAGCAGCAGTCTGGTATAGGCATGCACAGGCGCAGCCGAAAGAGACGTACATGTGGAATCCCACGATCTTCATCTGCGCCCAAACTCTTCGGGGAACGAATTCTAAAGTAATGCCATTTTTTAACGTGACATTTTTATCGGGAGTAATTTACGCGCGATTGTCGGGAGGAACTCGTTTTCGCCGAGGCGAGAATCAAATTGTTGTAGCCGATGCGTGTTCTTAATTGACAATCATTAATAACTTTTAATTTGCTGGTTACGATGCTACATACAAATAAAAACGGCTCGAGTATTTATATTTACTAAAACGAGCAGTTGAGGCCACATACTCCCAACAGATGCCTGTATATATCATTGATTTATGCAGTTGCAATAGCAATTTTTGTCATACATTGGCGCTCGAAGCATAATCATCGATTATGAGCTTCTATATGATTGGAATGACTCGCAAATTGAATGTCTCGCGTTACTTTGCCGATTAATCCATGTACCGCAGCCACAATATCTTTTTTAACGCTACCGCGGTATAATGTCCAATGTCGTATACTCGGGCGTCCAAGCGTAACGATTATCGCGCGTCTACTTAAAAAGTAAAAGTGTCATAATCGCCACATAAATTGTTTTTATCTCTCCTCCCGAGCCCCTTGCCTCATAAATCTTTCTACTGGGCAAATCCACGGGGGCAATCATTTAACGCGTGCTTATGAAATTTTTATTGCCTCTACGAAGATAATGTTTAAAAACTCGTATACTTCCAACTGTATGACTTTACCATCCCTTTACGTAATGGTACGTCGAATTTATTTAATCGATGCCACTTGAAGGAAAATTCATTTTATGGAAAGTCACATGAATCAAATTATGAATTAATTACGATAGAGTAAACAAACTCACCAAGTAAGAAATAAATTTAAAAAAAAAACATGTCTAACGAGTCGAAAATATTTTCTCACGTTGCAGAGAGGAAGCGAGGCAGGCAGACGTACACGCGATACCAGACCCTGGAGCTCGAGAAGGAGTTCCACTTCAACCGCTACCTGACCAGGCGGCGCAGGATCGAGATAGCGCACGCGCTCTGCCTCACGGAGCGCCAGATAAAAATCTGGTTCCAGAATCGGCGGATGAAGTGGAAGAAGGAGACGAAGACGAAGGGCGAGCCGAACTCGGGTGACGGTGACACCGACATCTCGCCCCAGACCTCACCGCAGGGCTGAGCCTCACCCCTCGGACTCCAGCACCACGACTACCAGTACTACCATCACCAATTACAACACCACAATGATGATGATCATTTCTACGACGAGGCATGATTTTTCAACACATACACATCTATTTATCTATCTATCAATTACCTATACATGTATATCTAAAAACAGCCAGCCAATCGATACAATCCAGAGATAAAGGATGCAAACGAGGTGTCGCGGTAAACGCCTGCCTCCCTATGTATCCGCTAGCCTCCCATAAAACTTACTCTTTCGTTACCAGAGAAATAGCGATGCATCGGACGAAAGATGATCCTTTCAAGGTTATCCTACCACCCCTTCGATTCGGTACACCCATTTTACATTATATCCACACACATACACACGTACAATAATTTAAAAATAAAAAATAAAAAAAACCGCAATGACGCTTATCTTGTCGTGTTATAAAACAAGCTGCTCGTACCAAATATATAGTGAACGAAGACGCCGTCGAGGGAGGGTCGGCGGGCGCAGAAGAATTTTTATTAAGAGATATAGAATTTTATTATAGTTTCCTCCGATTCGAGATGCATCTCTCGACCCCCAAGGCTTTTTTTTTCTACGCGATGTGGACGTGCTACTATACGCTACACGATACGCAACTATTATTACTATTATTGTTATACCGTCGTTATACGTGTCTCGCACGATGTAGAGAAAAAGGGGTGTATGTGAATACGTGTGCTGGACAAGCGAAAAAAAAAAAACAAACAAACAAACAAAAAAAAAAAAAAGATTAGTTCGTCGACGACTACTACTTCTACTTGCTATTATACGGGAAAATGCGCAATCACGAGGATGACGATCCGTTCGAGGATGTAGCGGATACGAAAGAAACTGGATCGCATGCTAATCAGAATCACGCGTTAGCCTCCATTGGGTTTAATCGAGTGTAATTCATCTATATAGAGCCTATAAATTGTGCGTGCTAGGTATGATATTGTTAAGCTTGAGGTAAAAAAAAAAAAAAAAAAAAAAAAAAAAAAAAAAAAAAAAAAAAAAAAAAANTTGATAAATGGAAAACGAAATAGAAGGCGATTTACGATATTAGAGGGTGGTATGCTGAAAATTTTGTCCATTCGATCGATTACTTTAAAATGGTGTAAAATATTTTGAAAAACAATGGTTATGTTGTGCATCAAGGCTTTGGTAATGCCAATTGATATTTTTTAACTTTGGGTGAAAAAAAAAAAAAAAAAAAAAAACAAAAACAAAAACAAAATTAATGTAACAACAAAACTAGTGCGAGTACCTATATAATTACGTGCGAGAGTGACAATGATGCGTGTTATTGATTAGTCGTTTTAGTCGAGCGAGTATATGAATCCAAAGGATCCAGCAGAGGATGTGTTTTTGATGATTATTTATTATGTTTTTTGTCATTATACCGTGTCGAGTGAAAAGGGATGAAAAAATGTTTGAACATTGTGGCATAAAAGTATGAAGGAAGAAAAAAAAAATAAATAAAGATAATTAACGTATAAGGGCGTAAACGTCGCGTAGCGTCTATTGTCTTTTCTACACGTTTTCTTCTTTGTGCTAGCTGTAGATATTTTACAAAGGAGGAATAATTCACGTATTGTATGTTACGACTATTATAATTATTATCATTATTACCGCGTCCCTAATTTTAGCGATAAATTACAGCTAGAGCACACCGTTTAGTGTTTTTATTGTTCATTTCGTGGAGAGGGATGTTTTTTTTTTTATTTATTCTCCTCGAGCGGAAGAGTCTCCCAGTTCAGCTTGATTGCGGCGACTCGCGGCGCGCACGGACGCGTTAAAGACTTTTTTTTCGTACATCATAAAAAATTCTTTGAAACAGAAAAAAAAGATGTACTAGCTATATTTTCATAACATCATTCATTTGAGCGAGAAAATGCATAAAAATTTTAATTAGTAATCATCGGCAAGGATGTTATCCAAAAAAAAAAAAAAAAAAACTAAAAGAGACCGTAAAGCTTTGAAAAATCCCAAACCGGTGATTAACGCAATCACAAGCGCGTGCGCGTCGCGTCACATGAGCCTCGCAAGTCGAAGTGAACGACGACTCGCGATCTTGATCTCGGTTCCATTGAGTCTTTCGACGAGAGGGAGAGAGGGTAGATACGCCGACCGGTCGTTCTTGCATCGATCGCAGCAGGACAACCAGAGTACCCTCGAAACCGACGTGTTCGGGAAAGTGCCAACTTTTCCGTAACGACGAGACAAACCGTAAAAGAGCGAAAACCTGCTCCGATCGACTTGGCTATTATATCAAAGTCTAATTATCTTGTCGGACAAGCCAAAGTGCATATACACACCGCGGTGAGAAAACAAATGGGGAGGGGCGAAATTAAAACTGCGTTGGGAATGAGCGATGGACTCCGCGGCCCGAGAGCGGATCTAGTGCATTGTAATTTATGGATTGTCAATATTAAATTACACTACACGCGACGTCCGCGGAGTCGATCGATCGTTCTCAAGCCCGTGCTCTCCCGTTACGTTATGCGCCGTGCGTGCACGCCTCAAAGCGACGATTAACACTCGCGCGCGAAAGCCCGCGTTTTAACACGGGAGGGTTACAAATGAGCCCGCTGAAAGTGCGTGCGCGCGTGTCTGTTTTGTTGTGTGCCTCTGCGATCGAGGGCAGGAAATTTATGGACGCAGCTCGCTCGGCGATTTTCTCTCTCTCTCTCTTTCTCTCTCTGTTGCGTGTAAATAAAAGCGCGTAGTTCGGACGCGGGGTAATCGATTGGTCGACCGCGATTGTTCTCTTAACGAAACAAAACGTTAAAAAAAAAAAGGAAATAAGTGAGTAATGGACAAAGGGAAAATATCGCGTGGATCTTTTTTTTTTTTTTTTTCTTTTCCTCTCGTTTTGCATTATTCGTTTCTGTTGTATAATACGAACCGAACCCCGAATAGTTATTTAACTGCTTCACGGACACGTATATATACATACATTCATACAAACTATCACACCAATACACACACGTGGCTGAGTTACCAACGATACGATCGTACACTTATATTTCTACTGCGTTTTTACTCGTTGTTTTTTTTTTTTTTTTTTTTTTTTTTTTTTTTTTTTTTTTTTTTTTTTTTTTTTTNTGGGAGTTGTAATAACGAGTAGGTGCATGTTTTTTTTTTTTTTTTTTTTTTTTTTTTTTTTTTTTTTTGGACATGTACATTACGTGAAATTTTCTCGATACACAGGTCAATCGTTTTAGTTTTCCGATAACTTTCTTCTCTCTTGTCGGTACATTCGGAAGCGCGAGGCTGTTATTGCTAGCGAAGTCACAAGGATCTTGAATCAACGGAGAGCTGTCCGAAAGTGCTGACTAAAGACGCATACATTTTTTTTTTTTTTTTTGTTATGAAATATCATATAAACACACGAGATACGTAAAAACGATGATGAAACCTATGATATACGTAATGAATTCGTGATTATGACGATTAACGCGGAGTCGAGTTATTTATAGATGTATGTGTATAGTCAAAGTGTAATTTTATAGGTAAGAGAGGCGCGAGGGATGAGCGACGTAAAAACCCGGTGAATAAGTATAATGAAATCCTGCAACATTTTATTCGAAAGTGCCGCGGGGCTTCTTAAATATTATCATTATTATTATTATTATTATTATTAATTTTATCATTGGTATTGTGTATGATACATAAGTCGCGAATATTTCGGGTGTGACGGAATTTCGGTGTTGTAAGCTGCATAAGCTCGTGTTTTTTTTTTTTTTTTTTT